ATATATATATATATATAAAAAGAGAATAAAAATGAAAAGAGATACTTTAATAATTGTTTTATTTACAGAAGACACCATCACAAATCTAGAAAATACTCTTTACAAGAGGATCCACAATGGAGGAAACGTTCTGGAGCTGGTCTTCCAGATGGTCCTGGTATCCTTGCCAGGAGAGTAAGCGTCCAACCGGAGGAAGCAAGTACACTTCAGGAATTGGACATAGACGATTTGGAATCTCACAGGAGCGACGATCCACGTGGAATGAGACGTCACAAGGCTGCTCATTCGACGGTACAGATTGGCAGAAGAAAGGAAGGTGGGATACCCCATGAAGCTTTCAAAAAAATGTACGACCATTCACCCCATGAGGTGTTCGTACAATTGGACGAACTTCATGGGGTCGGTGAAGAACGGGAATGGAGAGAAACGGCACGTTGGATCAAATACGAGGAAGATGTTGAAGAGGGTGCTGACAGATGGGGCAGACCGCACGTTGCATCGTTGAGCTTTCATTCGTTGCTAAATCTACGTCGGTGTCTTGAAACCGGTGTTGTATTGCTCGACCTTGAAGAAAAGGACCTACCAGGACTTACCTATAGAATGGTAGAACAAATGGTGATAGAAGAGTTAATACTTCCAGAAGATAGATCAGTTATCATGAGAGCTCTTCTATTAAAACACAGACACGTCCACGAACACGATCGAGGATTTCGTTTTGGTGGAAAACGTAACTATTCCAGTTACACTAGTTTACAGGTTAGTTAATGAATAATTTATTATCTGTCATGTGTTTTTAGGTAAATTTAGATGGATATATTATTATACAGGTTCTTGGATGATCAACTTCAGGTCTTGTTTAATCAGTAGACATGAAAATGATTATATATATATATATTATTAGTGTTGTCGTTTAATACTTCTGATATATTCTTTTTTTTTTTTCTTCCTCCCCGGCCCCCCCTTTAAAATGATACATAAATTATAGAAAATACGCGGTGTCCTATTGATAATGATAATAGTAAATAAATATCCCAATCGCGTATAGTAATAGTTCGTAAATTAGCAGGAAAATGTTTGAAGTATGTTTTTTTTAATTAGGGGGAAATGTAATTTACCCAATGTCATTTCCACAGTCCATCTGGCTGGAGGAAGAAGAGGCTGCACGAGGAGCCACTGAAAACCATGTAACCCAAAATGTAAAAATAACAACAACATTCGTATCCCGAATTATTTGAATGCAGTTACCAATATTTTATTTTAACGTTTATTTTTCATTACGCTAACCTTTTTTGATTATTTTTATATTATTGTTTTTGTTTTTGTTTTCGTTGTTCTTTTTATTCTTCTTCGTAAGCTATATACTCGTCAAAATTAATATCTGCATTCTTCGTTAAGACCATATCTCTTAACATGAATTTACAAGGTCCAATAATCATATCCCTCTATTATTTTTCATACTTGTAAACGTATGTGAAAATTCAAACGGAAATAATATTCAAATCATTAATGGATACGACCTGTAAGTTCATGGACACGCAATTTTTTAGCACCCTTTTATATTTTTGTTTTCTTCTTAAATATATATAGTTAGCCATTTTTTCTCTTACATTTTTGTTGTTACTTTTATTCGAAGGCTCCTATTTTCTTTTTTTCTTTCCATTCACAAAATCTTATTTATTAATTGTCAGAACTTTTTTAAATGATATATTACTATTTGTGTTTATTTATCAATAGCAACGAATTTTCTTCGCTTTCCAATTTTAATTAGGTATTTTTGCACCTTGTTTATATATATATATCTTTTATCATCTGGATCTTATCATTTGTTTTCTTTTTTTTTTTTTTTTTTTTTTTTTTTTTTGAATCTCTTTTCATTAGTTTCTTTTCATTAATTCGTATATGTATATTTCGTGTCATTATATTTCAAGCGGTGCATAGGATTTCCTATTACCTGATATTAGTTGATCTAGAAATTTAGAATATAAAAACTGTAGATATCATAATATATCTAGTCCAAAAAAAAAAATTGTATAAATGATATTAGATACATTTCCAATCTTATATCTTTTTTTTTTTGTTTAATTTTTTAATACAGAAACATATACAACAAACCCCGTGTGATATTTTAACCGAATCAGAAAACCTATGCCCGTTCTATCTTTGAACACCACATATTACGTGTATTATCACAAATATCAAAAACGATGCAATTTAAAATTTAAAAAAAAAAAAGAGAAGAAAGAGAGAGAGAAAAAAAAAAGTATATTTTCATTTTATTTCACAGAATTTGAACGACACCAAGCCAAAAATCGTCTCGTCCAATTTGGCATTGGATAATAGTAATCACGCCGTGGTAGATATGAAAGAAGAATTAACATTTACCAGCAGCAACGAGGATCTTAAAAAGGGACAAAACGAGCACATATTGAAAAGAATTCCAGCTGGTGCCGAAGCTACGATAGTTCTCGTAGGTGCAGTTGATTTTCTCGATCAACCAACCATAGCTTTTGTCAGATTGGCAGAAGGTATATTTATACCAGCTATAACGGAAGTTAAAATACCAGTAAGATTCATGTTCACATTGTTGGGTCCAAGAAACGGTGATTTGGATTATCATGAAATTGGTAGATCTATTGCCACTTTAATGGCAAATACTTCTTTCCATAAAATTGCTTACAAAGCTAACGAAAGAAGAGAATTACTATCTGCCATTAACGAATTCCTTGATGATTCTATCGTATTACCACCTGGGGATTGGGAAAGGCAAGCTTTGTTACCGTTCAACGAATTAAAAGCAAAAAGTGAAGCTATTAGAAAAAGAAAGGCTAAGGCTATTGAAGAAAAGACTAAACCTGTTCAAAGTGAAGCAGCTATAAAAAAGGGTACAAATTTTCATATATAAAATATTTATTCAAATTATTTGTGTATCATTGTAATTGATTTATTTATATACATATATATATATTTGGAATAATATTATTTTAGCTCTACTCGCTGGCGAAGAAGAAAAGAAACCACCTGACGGTGACGATCCCTTACGCAGAACACGACGTCCCTTTGGGGGTATAATAAATGATATAAAAAGACGTTATCCTCATTATTTATCCGACTTTACCGACGGATTAAGTTCTTCCTGTATAGCAGCAGCAATTTTCATGTATTTCGCAGCACTCTGTGCCGCAATAACATTCGGCGGATTGATGAGTGACAAGACACATAATACCATTGGAATTTCGGAAACTTTGGTATCCGGTTCATGGACAGGAGTAATTATGGCATTGTTTGCTACTCAACCTTTGGTCATTATCGGCACTACAGGACCCCTCCTACTGTTTGACGAGAGTCTCTATAAATTTTGCAAGGCTAATGAACTTGAGTTCCTTACCGTAAGGGTTTATATCGGTGCTTGGATGGGTATAATAGCTTTAGCTATAGCTTCAGTCGAAGGTTCGGTTTTGGTTAGATTATTCACACGTTTTACCGAAGAAATATTCACTGGATTGATTTCCCTTCTTTACATAGTCGAGACATTTATCAAATTGTACAATTATTTCGTACGTAATCCGTTATTAGAGGAATACAACTTTTTACCCGACAGCAATCAAACTCAACCGATAAACGTAACCGAAATAAAAATCATTTATGAAACTTGGAACGGTACGGAAATATCAGTCGCTTATGACGACATGCGAACGCTTATACCTAAACAAGATGACGGAGGAGTCTTGATAAATCAACCAAACACCGCATTAATGTGTACGATATTATGCTTAGGCACGTTCCTAGGTGCTTATTATTTACGAATCTTCCGTAACAGTCATTACCTTGGCCGTAGCGCAAGAAGAGCATTCGGTGATTTTGGTGTACCCATTAGTATTATCGTATTCGTCCTGATCGATTATTTGGCCAAAGTACAAACGGAAAAGTTATTAGTACCAGAAGGATTGAGTCCAACCGTGGCTGGAAGAAATTGGTTCGTTTCTCCGGGTGGTGAAACTCGACCTATCCCAGTTTGGATGACTTTTGCTTGCGCCATTCCAGCATTATTGGTTTACATCCTCGTTTTCATGGAAACTCAAATTTCCGAGTAAGAATTTTTCACAAATATATCCATTTGTTATTATTTTTATGATTATTTTCTCATTATTATTATTATTTTATCAATACAGGCTTATCATCGACAAAAAGGAACGTAAATTACGTAAAGGTAACGGTTACCACATGGATATCGTTGTGGTATGTCTGATGAATGTTGGTTGTGGATTAACGGGTTCACCTTGGTGCAGTGCTGCATCCGTACGTTCGTTGACACACGTATCAGCAGTTACAATCATGTCACGTACACATGCACCTGGAGACAAGCCGCATATAGTCCAAGTTATAGAACAACGTGTCAGTGCGTTGTTAGTTGCCATTCTAATGGGTGTTAGCGTATTAATGGCACCACTTTTACGACGAGTACCTATGTCCGTCCTTTTAGGGGTTTTCCTATACATGGGAATATCCTCGACAAATGGCGTACAACTGTTCGATCGTGTAAAGCTTTTCTTCATGCCTGTTAAACATCATGGGACAGCCAATTATGTTCGTCGAGTCCAAACATATAAAATGCACATATTCACTACGATACAAATCTTGTGTCTAGCAGTACTCTGGATTGTTAAGAGTACGCAAGCAGCCCTAGCACTACCGTTCTTCCTAATATTGATGATACCACTGCGCGGTCAAATGAGACACTTCTTTACACCTGCTGAATTACGTGCTCTTGATAGCAAAGAACCTGAACACGAAAGCACCGAAGAGGAGCCTGACTTTTATGAGGAAGCTCCGCTACCTGGTTAGACTGTGCCTTATATTCACGACTAATTATCTCATCTGGTGTATAACTTTTCTCATATACGTTTTATCTTTTTTTTTAAAAAAAAAAAACGTTACTCTCTAAAAACACCACGTGTCTCTCTTAATTCTTCGAAACAAAACAACCAAACGAAATAATAATAATAATAATAATATTCGTATATATTATTCTCGTATATTATCATCTATATATATAAAAATATATATATATATATCTCT